ATATACAATATATATTAGAATCACCGAAGCGTTTATGTGATGCGAATTGCTGGTTTAAGTGTTTGGACACCCATCAATATATGTAAATTTAATCGCATTCTGATATATTGTACTAAGTATATATGTTTTTAATTTTATATATATTATTTCATTTTTACTATATTTTTGTTATAATCTTGTTTTATTACATGCGTCTTATTTTGGGTTATTGTAACTGCCACAAAAAATAACCAAGTACATATTTAAACACAAAATTTTAAAAAGACAAAATATAGGAATAATTACGTCGGTGTCAACTGCCATCATGAGTTTTATACTTTTCTATAGTGTTGTCTTTAAATCCGAAATAAATAAATTAATTAATTAATAAATTCTATCACAACAATAGTACTGAACACATAATAACACAATTTTATGTGCAGTGTATACTTATACTACATACAGTCGTACCGGGGATGGGTATACCACGCAGTCAGGAAAAAAAACGGGCTGCATGTTTATTAGACACATGTTAAATTTGTCGCAGTTGGAAAATATAAAGACTGGATTTAAAGCGTGTGTCTCATCTTGGCTGGCTGTCCAGCTGAGATTTGCAGTTTATGTATGCTGCCCTCAACGGCAATCGTTTGAAAAGAACTACATAATCGACTCTATGTCGATGAGAACATGGAAGATATTATTCCATGATGAGAATGAATTGGAACTAAGCCTCGGATACTCTCAGATAAAATGACAATGAAAATGATCAACCTACCATGCGGCCAGCAAACTACACATGTGTCCTTATGGAATACAATAATATTGTAGCCCGTTGTTTCCATACAGAAATTGCATTTCTTACAATGATATACAGGTTTACGAAATGACATCAAATAAACATGATATCACGTGATTTTTAGAAATCGCGTTGCCCTCGCCCATTAGAGAGATAGAGACCTTTTATTATTTTGTTACCACCTGTGTTTCAGATGTATGTATACTGATGTGGTCGTTATCATAGGACAAATACTTTTTTCAATATAAGAATAATAACATAATAAGCACGTACTAACTAGTTAGTCATCACGGAACAAATATGACCTGCTTTTATGACACTGCCATACAGAGGTGTCTCTCTAATGTGCAACCTGGTTCATAAAAGTCGTTTAGAGTAGAAGACTACTCATGAAGTAAAATGCCCAGAATTTATTCATTTTGGAATGTAATAAACTGTACTCTAAGGCAATATAAGGATATTGACCAAAAAAAAATTGGGGGTCACCAGCCTTTTTTTTTTCTAGAAAATGATGGTTGTATTTGAATGGAAAGTCGCCATTTTGACACTATTATAACACTTTTACCACAGGTTCCTATGGCAGAGATATTATGCAATATCTAAAAATCTAACCTGGTGACATAGGTTGAAAAAATCATATATTGTTAGTGCTGGAGTACTTTTTGTTGTGCTGAACTATTTACATAATCTGGGTTTTTAAAAGTGTGAAAAAATGCAATTTGTCTTTAACATTGTGTTCTATGGAATTGTTCTAAAAATAGTAATTTTTAAAAAAATATTAGGACACATTTCTCAAAAAACTTAACTGTAACACACACAATAATGCTATTTCATTGTACCATGGGACATTAGCTTCATGATTGTACATAATAAACTAATGAACATTGTCATGCGATTTATGACCAATTTTGTCAAAAGGTATGACTAGGCTTCTACGTTAACGCATTTTAATATGGAATAAGATACTATCCAATCCGATGAGATATTTGTAATATTTGTAATCATTTTATTTTAGACAAAAGCAAACAATAAATAAATAAATAAATATGAACATTACATATCATAATCAGCGCGTTCTATGACCGGCGTTAACGAGATATCACAACATTCGAATCATGTAAGGTATCATGTATTCGGGTGCGTATGGACGTACCACTCAGCTACATATTTTCTAAATAATTTGTAACAAGATACCACGCGAATAAACGCAATTATTGACTAACACTGGAGCAGATGGATAATTCAACAAGTCTAAGGAATCACATATGGTCTGTTTGCGCTTTCCGAAAAAGTTGAATATTCTTCGTTACTGAGTATTACTTGACTATCTGAACTTTATAAATAGTGATACTTAAAGTAACATCGATGTGTATTGGAATTGTTGTGGCGCGGAATCACGCATTCTTAAGTGCATTTACGCGAGCGACTTGAGCCTCTTAAACAGCACTAGTCTTAGCAGCAAAGAATAACATTATAACAGAGAAAGTCTTGAATAACACATGTTTAGTATCACAACTTCAGTTGGCAGAACTTTTTCATAAATAGATTTGTTCTTAATGTGAACTACTCAATGTTTATGTCATCTTTCATATCTGTTTGCCTTGTATATAACATCATGCCCATCTACATACTGCTCGCAATGATGTGAAAGCCGGCATAACTTTTTATAGAGGGCGCTGTCGCGTATGGATGCATTGCGCAAGGTGTAACTTGTCCAGCGTTTGCGCAGATTGTCCCATGACGCTCGAATCTAGTATTTCAAATTCCTGAAAAGTGACCGACTAGCCGACAACATACCGACGTAGAACGGAATGGCGAAAAATAATCTCAGTGGTGATGATATACCATGATATCATAAACGTGATCCTTAATATAGATAAGTTAGTTTTTGAAAAACAAAATATTTCGGAACAGAATATGCGTTTTACACCAAAATGTAAGTTATGAGGCAGATTAGAATCTGAAGAACATTTATAATATAATCGGTGCGTAGAAGTGCTCCCCGGTTAAGTATAGAAATTACGGGAATAATCTTGGCACGCCAACAATTATTTTAACGTGCAATTCTGGAATGTCAGCTAATGTGCTCAGGCGTTCGTGACTAACATCAAATTAGTAGACATCAGTGCCGCGGCGGTCATTTTAAATCAACAACTCCACCTCGTAAAATGACCTAGTTTCAGTAATCCCGATAAGTGCCTTCAAATTCACACGCCGTTGGGTCAAAACTGTTATCGAACTTCATAGTGTTGCACCATATCATTTTCTGTAAAGACGACATCCTCTCCACCGGAAGCGGGACTATTTCTTTGCCTAAACTACGTCTCATCACAGATACCATCTTAGTCCAGCTTGATTCACGCCATCCTATGAACAGATGGGCTCCTGAAAAGATGGAACAGAATTATGGTATTTGTCGAGGCTGTAATGTACTACTGTTATTATATTATTCCTAGGCTATGTCATGATACATACAATTGAAGACACAAATAAATGGGGGGGGGGGGAAACTATACGAGAGAGACGCGAAAACTCCATCATTCATGCGATGTCAACATATTTACGTATCTTTTTGTGGTGTAACATATAATGAGGATCCCTAAAAAGTCGTCTATAGCTGAAATGTTTTCATATTTTCCTCTCGCGATATTCGGTCAGCCATATCTCATCAACTCGGTGACCTACACTATGGGAAATTGCACCATTCAAATTATGACATCACCAGACTATCTGTAGCAATCGCTATGAGCAAGTTGTCACCGTTGGGGGCGCACGTATTATATATACTGGTACTTACTAACTGCAATCTCCTGTTCCACTAATGACAAAACAAAGTTGTCATTTTTGTTTTGCAGTTTCATTAACTTGTGAGATTTTTGCACGAGTCTTTTCAGCGTATAAACAACACCCGGAAACTCTTTCTTCATTCTATTCACGAATTCCTGTAGGATGAAATTTAACATTAATTTGAAAGTTAGCTCGTCTGATCCGATTAACACCAACCCATAGCTGTCATGAGATACCAGTACACCCTTTGCCGGCGTCCATGATTCTCACGGTTTATGATATGTTTAAACATTAATATTTGACAATTTTGTGTGGTTATCATTGTCGCATACGACTTATTTACCACTTCCGTGTCACTGAGAATGTTCTAGAACCGTACTGTGTCTGGGTGGAATATTCTATATTTTTTAGAAAATGCCAGTGGTTGAATAGGTAATAGAACACTGTAGGAGGCAATAGAAGGTAATGGAACATTCTAGAAATTTGTAGTAAGTTCCAGACTCATTATGTATGCTGATGTAGTGGTCTATTTATAGACAGTGGGGGTATATATAGGGGAGTTGTTCAGCACTGATTTCAGATCGGAGATCTCGTTGAATTGTATTGGAGTTTAAGTATCTAGTTATTGGAGTAGTGGAGTTTTACCGCGTTATTGTACTTGATGTTTGCAGAGTATAATAATACCAGTACCAGTTGAAACCTCATCTGTTGGCTCCGTGTTCGTATTTTATCATCGCCGCCAGGGAAGTCTTTCTGTTACTGTTGCCATTTTGGTATTTGAACCATCACACCTGTACTATACCAATTACGGTAATATTACGTTGCGTGTGACAATCGCAATATTCAGCTTAAGGTATTATCCATATAATACAAAGTGAAAATGAAACTGAGTTATCGATTAGGAAACATAACACTTAAGTCTCCAATTTATTTCCAGATTTCATTATCAACTAGTCAACACTCGATGGAACATTTGCAGCTCACTTTTGCGGTAGCCACGTTCTTCTTGAAACTCTATTGCGAACATACATATATAATGTGACATTGACTTTTAATCTGTTGTTATAAAAATAAATTACGTATTGAGAATCACATGGGGAACGTGTGTTGCTGAAACACTTGATGTGACCTTTGCCCCGGAAATGTAGCCTGATCGTATAGATCACATGAGAAACACATATGTCCTTCGAGGCTTTTATGTACATATAGCACTGAGCGCCCTGCCTGTACACTCATGCTGCTTATGCGATTTTTTGGAAGGCGTGGCCCACAAGAGCCTGGACGCCCTCTATGCACTCAAACCTTTTTTGAAAACTTTCAATTTATTATAATAACCACACAAATTATATATTTAACCATATTTAAATATTTTCCAATTGAAAGTATACTAATTAAACGAAGAATTCAAGCCTCTTGTCACTTGTATAGCTTTAAAACTGTTTAATTATACGTGTGTTGACTTCTTACTCTTATCATGGATGCTCTGGTGAACCAACACGTATCTCGAAAAGGGTTTTAGAGAAACTCAAGAAAAACAAAAAATCGTGAATTCGTATCGCGCGTGAAATAGCATCAATAATTATGAAAATGTTTTTTTGGAGACCCAATATTTTGATAAACATTAATTTTGTCATCAAGAAATAACTTTCATAAACAAATTATGAATTTTGGACAAATATCTTGATTCTAACAGATTTGTGTGGAGCATTATACATATTATAATACACGTCGACAATGAGTGATCCATGGGGACAGGGTGTGCTATCAAACCTCACTAAACGAACAAAAAACACACGTCAGCTGGTGGCAAATTATTTACGCACGAGCGGCACCTTACTCTACTATTGTGGTTGACCTTTGAACCCCAAGTTATTCCCCACACATGTTCATTTGTTTGTTTTCTATTTATTGCTTCGTTTTATTGTAGAAACGCATGTGATACTGCAGTTTTATCCACGTGCACTTAAAATAATGACCCATTGAGAGCTGGTGAATAATTATGTGAATCTTGAAATAAAACCAAGAAATCAATATATGGACAGTATTGTAGCGGGAGGTCGTCACCTGCGCACGCGCGGGAATTGAGTCCTAAACGACGATAACAACACACGCTGAAAACGCAAATGCTCATGGGTAGACGCTTGTTTGTAAATAATGACACGCTATGGCCATTTGACGCATGCGCAGGTAACGACTCCCCCCGCTTTAACTCATTTGTTTCACCCACCTGTTGATACGGAGGATGTGCAATGTAGACGCATGTATGCCCTCTGGATTGGATGTACTCTATAAGACTATTGACCAATACATCGATTGTCTTCGACATGACGCTGAGTTTAAAATAATCGGTTGGTTTGCACACATGTGGTGCCCAGTATGACCCATTCAGGCATCTGTGAAGAAAATATGACGCACCTAGTTTCAGAGAAGTACTGTAAAACACTTTGAAATAGCTGCATATCATTTTAGCGAATTTGACTCAATGCATGAATTAACTGAATCTTAATTTAGCTAAAGTGCAAATAATCTCACAGTGAGAATATACTAGTTCTCTATTATTCTAATTAGCGACATCTTAATTTAGCGAAATTGTGGATTAGGTAAATTACTTAAAATAACATGCTATGTTTTACAGTGCGTGATGTTGCGTGCATTTGCGCATGTACTTATTAAAAGTAGTATGAATATTTCAAAACTCACGCGCCACCAGTCTTGCGTAGTCATTATTTAATTCACGATTACCGTTTTAAGTGCCTCTAATTAAAACAACGTGTTTGATTTAGGATAAATCCAACCCTAATAAGTGTACCTTAAATAATCAACAAAAATATGACATGTATTCATCATAGTTGGAATAGCAATGAACTTATACAGTGTATAGTACATTTGTTTGTGAATGGCTGTCGTTCCATATTGACATAATATTTCAATATATAACGATGAACAAGTTATTTTAATGTATGTTTATATTACACTACATTGACGTCAATGTTAAAGCACGTTTACCTTCGTCATATGCTAATAGACCATTTTCCGTACACTGCGAGAATCACGCGTTATGCGTGAAATCGAACGTAAAAACAGGACAAACAAAGGTCATAGCGTCGTAGTCGTGTGATAGGTATTTTTGATGGTTAAAAACCTTTCACTTAGGTAACCGGGATTCGGTCGTTTCCACGCTAAGCTGACAAAAGACACACACAAGCTTCGTTCATGTTCCCAAAACGATTCTCTGCCAAGTCCCTGGTTTTCACCCGAGACAGCATTAAATCAATCTTTATTTCTTGTCACCCCTTAACCAATTACAATCAGTATAAGAGACTCCAAGGCCTTTCCTTCCAACAAACAACCAATCACATGAAAGTTTTACACATCATAATCAATTAATTACTCGTCAAGCTGTCTAGAGAAAACATTTCTATACATTGTCAACACTAACTAATATTGATGGGGTAATAGTCTCGCACTAACATTCCACAAAGATACCATCTCGCCATCTGGTCTTGTCATTAACCTTTATCAGTATATGTCATGACGACCACTGTCAAACTGACTGAAATATAAATCATGATAGTCGCGTCAAACATCGCGTGGGATTCGACAAACGCGAAAGTATTTCGGGGACATTTCCATGCTTAATAATGTGCTGTCCACATTTGATGATAGGCAATTTCGATTAAGTAAGGGTATTCGGAAGCAATATTCCTCTGTCGAAGATCGGCCGGTCAATGTAAGCTGCGAAATAAAGAAATTCTAGTTCAAAATCAAATCGTTCGATTTTTGCGGCAGACGTTCGACGCGCGTCTTTCATGCATCTCGCAAGATCTCGCAATTGTTCGGAAAATCACCTATTCAAACACATTTCATGGGCATTTATAATGAAAATATTACAATTAGAATGTTTATAGTGTACACGTGAACAATCAATTTATAGTTGGACTATTGATTTGTTGTTCCATGTTAACATCAGTTTTATTTTGAGTGTACCTATCCTATCGTACTTCACACTTATGGCAACATGTGTTTACAGATATGATACTTAGCCATGGAATAGTTGAAAATGCAGTATTAAGATAACAAGCCTAGATCCATCATCTCTTGAATAAATATGACTATTCACTTTTACAGAAGATTTTAATCACAAACTGTTCTCAGGTGCATCATACCTCAAATTTATCCGTTGTGTACTTCACTCTTGAGTGAACTGAGTACAGGTATAATTTCCACCACAATATACCCTCAAATCAATAATATAAATAGATAAATGCTGGTCGATGAGGGAACCACTACTCTACAATGTCCCGGGAGAACCCTGTTCTGTCGTGCACTGAGGTACGTATGATTTATTTTGTCCGAGGGAATAAAATTCACGCCTGGTTAGGCTGTTAGATTGTAGTACAAAGCTGTGACAACAGAAAGTGCTATTTGCTTTTCGTCTGACTTTTAGGAAAATCAATACGACATAAATAAAAGAGATGTTAAAAATATGGCGTTATCCATATTTCATCTTTATATATCACATGCATTTATCACGTTATAAGTTCATAACTAAGACAGACCATAGACATTATCATCGACTCCATCTTTTGGGAAATTAAAATAATATATACGCTGTCCACTGTATCTATATATTCGAATAACAATCTATCAAAAACTAAACTGTCAGTATTATGAAATGAAAAATTGAAACTACGCATGTGCAGTGATTTTATTGTACGTAACAAAATATCTAGTACACAAGCGTATTAGAGAAATCACAGCCCAATGTATTATTAGTTGAATGATATCAAATTAAGACTTTAACGGTCAGAGTTCAAATGTGTACTACTTTGCATGTTACTGCTCATATAAGCAATGGAGGAAAATCCCGTTGTTTATATTATAAAAAAATATCAGACTGGAAACTCGCTAAATTGAATATATTTTTTGGAAATGTTTTCAATAATATCAGAATAATATTTTTTATTCCTTTGCCATCCATGTCACCAATCAAAATTCGAAGATATGAAGAAATAATTTCTTCGTAAAAAACAATACAGCATTTTATTTTTTCCGTGAAATTTTAGAAATTGCCCCTTTATTAATTTTTGGTATCCTAATACTGAAAGAATGAGAAATGTGATATATATAAACTTTCATTCGACTCGAATCTCTTTAAAGAGATATTAAATGTATTCACTGTATCATAATTAGCCACGTGTGCCGAGGGTCTCATATCTTGTTCAATAAGCCATACATAATAGTAGCTGTGTGCCAATACAGCGTTATTTTTTGATAAAATAAAATAGTGAATAATGTACTTGTACACAAACAACTTACTTTTCCCCCGTACGATTTCTCCAATGTACGACAGCGAACGGCGTTCCGTCACAGATAGCATCGTATACGCCGTCAACAAGGCCACTTACATACGGCGACCAAGACAGATGATTGTCTACTTCCTGGTAAAGTTCTTCATCTGCGGGCGATCTGAAGAACCGTACATCTTCATCAAAATAGACTGACAGACACCGAACCCCTTGGGTTGCTGCAAGGAATTTAGAGTTTTCTTCTGGAGTTGATCCAGAGCTGACCCTTGCATGGAAGGGATAATCACGACCAATTTCTCCCACGGCGTCTCTAGTTTTGAAATATCTCCGGCTATTTGAGACTTCCTTATCCTGTATCACATCGAATGGTTTCAATTTTATTTTCGGGATTAATTCGTCCTTACATTCTTCGTAAAATTCTTTCATGGAAACTACGGGAACGATTTGATTGATTAGAATCTCGTCAAAGGCGCGTCTCATGGATACTGAGCTGTACATTTGAGTCTCCAACCTATCATACACGCGAAAAGGAGTCGACACAATCGTACGATTTTGGAGCAAAGCCAGGCGTAATTCTCTACGGAACGTCCAGAAAGCTCGGTTTGGTCCACCGTCCAAGTAAACATGAATAGGAGCGAGATACCTCCTCCGAGTGTCTTCATTTTTTGAAATATTCACAAATAATTCGTTATTCTGTGGAAGTGTGGTAAATCTTTTTTGACGGAGTGTTTCACTGTTATCACCTTGTGTGTCAGTGCATTGACAGCCGCCTTGCGAAGCACATTTAAATATTAGTAAAATAACATATATCGAAAACACAGTTAACAGTAGACGTGCTGACCAGTGGATCTTCCCGATACAACGTCGTAGAAATGGGTTATAACGCCTCATTGTGTAGGATTCACATCTGAAAGAAAGTATACACACATTATGCTATGCAGTCTTGTAAACAGAATAACACTGACAATCATCCCATGCCCCGTTCGGCACCACGACGTAAGAATCAATAGACGCACGATTCCTAAAACACTTTCTAAAAAATATTGATAACAATATCTCGAAAAAAAATATTTGCATTGAAGGCCGACCAGGTATCACCATTATCGCCAAAATAGCGTTTCGTCGTTTTTGAGAGATACTTTCTGGGATGAGATATTCAAACGCGAACTTCATTCCCACGGAAGCAACTTGGAAAACTCAGACATATTCTCTGAAAACGAATAACACTATGGAAGAAATTTTAAATAAATGAATTAGAAATTACAACACACCGTGAAATAAGTTACATATTTAGCGATGCAACGAGTGGTGGCGTTATTACATGTGATATAGTTGATAAATACAGCATTAGTTGCGACTACGTCCAGCCTGACACGTAGGCGTAAGTAACGCCTTCACCGGCCGAACGACATCAGACCTCTGTGTCGGGTTTGGGGTACCGCGGAGGGTGCAATTCACGTGACCTTGTCAGGCTACGACTACGTCATACCATGGTCATACGGGTCAGATACTTCCGTCCACATATATGTCATTTAGCATATCGTATGACCTACTACACCCCGGGCCCAGTGGGATACCTTGGTAACTCTTGGGCACATTAATTTAAAAGAAAAAATACGTTACTGCAAGAAATGTTTGCAAGAACTTTTTCTGAGCTAAACATTTATTTTCTACATCCGATATCACGCCATAGGGATTATGCAATCGTAGACGCGAATTCACGGAGCGGACGGTGGACTCAAATTGACTTTTCGGTGTGCCAACTTCTAGCCATGTTTACAATAGAAAGCAAATATTACGTGTTTACGCTACACGAAGTACGGTCTAAGATTTACTGAGATTTATTATCCCATATGTTCGATCTCTTAGCCCGTGTAAGTAGCTGTGCGTGAACGCTACTTATGTAAGGGGGGGGGGGGGGCAAGGGTTATTTTCGTTCAACGTAATTGCAATATTTTTTGTTCGTACAACGTAAATTGACAAAATAAATTTCGTAGTTCTGTAATCACAGGCTAGACGTACAACTTAATCAATCAAATTTATTGTTCGTACACTGTAAAAATGTGTCATTTTTCTCGGTACGTACAAGAATTTACATCCAAATAAAAAAAGTCGTAATGAATAATGCAGAGAAATTACGTTTTCGAAACTGTAAAACGACTAAATGACACAAGATTCACTGCAAAATTCAATTTTCACTGTAAACTGTAAAAACGTCTTTTTTCCCTTGTAAATTGTAATACTAGTAAGCCCTTTTTTATTTCCCGTAAAACTGTACCAGCTACCCCCTTGCTCCCTCCTATGTACTGAGGATTAGTGTTATCCATCCTGTAAATAAATTACGAGAGGTTCTGTAAATAAACACTGTGCAAATGATTAACAAAGATCACAACCACACCTCCAATAAGCAATCGCACAGACCATGGAAGGGACTAACGTACTTTAAAACTCTCATGAACTCAGATTGGCTTTGGAGTCACATCAATTTCACCTCGATACGTTGATGGTGTCAAAATCGGAGTTAAAGGGAGGTGCATCACCATTCAAAAATGTTAATTTGACCATGGCAGTGTCAACCTCAGACAACTAATAAACGTTTATTAGTTGTCTGCTGAGGTGTAACGGAATATACTGATTGACAGAACTAGTAATTTTGAAAACAGTTGAACCATGGTTGAACCACAGCCCTATATAGTCTATAGAGGGACTCTGTTTGAACAGACAGAAAGTTAAAATATAAAACACAAAATAAACCTTTTATCTCAGACTAGTAATACAATTGTATTACTAGTCTTAGCTTTTATCAAGATTTGTTTAAGATGTAATTCCTGAATAAGACAATAATACAACAATAGTCTAATGTAGTCTGCATCAGATCATGGTCAAGGGTACGACATACAGTATTATAGTAATAGGAGCGTAATGCAAACTAATGTGTAGAGGTTTAGCGATGGTTTCTACAAGGGTTTGCCAGACAGATAGGTGCAGAAGGATGCTCTCGCTAACGTATTTCTAACGTGACTTGATTGGCCTTGACTTTAACAAGATAAACAAATAGTTAATACGTGAATACCGATACGATGCGATTGTACGCTATCGTCACCTTCACCGCAGTAACCTTTATTCCACCCACATTGCTATGAATTGTACTCAGCCACGTTTTAGCGTTATTTGCACATAACTGTGTCGTCAGAGACTGTTGTGTATTTATTGTACCAATATTTTTGACCTCTGGTGTGCTCTCATTTCGAACTGAACTCACTGGGATATATTACTCACGGTAATATAATACTTACAATACCATGGTAGAAATGGTTTAGTTGTTTTCATGTCATGTATGACAAATACACTCTTTATATTATATTTAACGCTACTGGTATACTAATCAAAACACCATTATTTGTATCATCATTTCTCGCTACCTCAAAACAACGGAATCATCACTTGGAGGGCCATGGGCTTGAAACGGCAGCAAGAGAGCTGGGTGTTAATTTCATTAGAACAAAAACATAATTTCAAATTATTTGTGAAATATTAGCGTATTAATTTCCCAGGTGACCTGGTGCCACGAATATTATTTTTACACCGTGTCACATGACTATCATTACAAGGATTATACATTACGAACATAAAGGACAACGCACCTCATTACAATTCGTAAATTATTGTATACTATTTAAGAAGACAGAAAAAACAATATTGTCAGTT